GGGATGTTTTTCTAGTGTAGTAGCGTCCAATAAACCAGTATGAATTCCTCTTGAGATACTAGTAAAGTATGGTGACAGTATGGTGAAAAGACGCTTAAATGGAGAGAGAGTAGTAGTAAGCATTGTTTTCTGGTGGAATTAATCGACATTAGCACTTCTACTAAACACGTGAGCAAACAGTGTATAATGAATGATGCTAAGAAAAGCTGCGCAGCTATGAATCATTGAAAACAGAACGATAAATTCAAATGTATAAAAAAAGTAGAAATGAGTAATCGTTGTCAAAGCATTATGCGGCCTTCATCTCATGAAGGAATTGGAAAATACTATGTTGGTGACTTGCATGCAGGCATTGATCATGAAACCTGAACATAGAACAAATTGGAACAAAGGTCAAAAGTGTAGAAATTCATTATAGTCACACAGTGTGGCATGCACACACCCAGGATCCAAGGGGATTCAAGAATAACTGCCAGCGGTTTGATACCCTTGGTAGTTCCTCTGAAAATCGGTTACAATGACATACACGTATATGTATGTTCAATCTTTGTCGCTCGAAGTTTGAACGTTTTCGCTAACTTTGTTTTTTATATTCTCTTACTTCCCATACACTTTTGTCTACTTTGATATCACCCTTTCACAGTCCATTTATTATTTGGATTCTGATATGAAGTGTGGCAACTCGAACCGGTGCCCTTCTGTGAGTGGTTCTCTGCTGATTTGTCTGTCTTTTCTGCTATAAACGCCGAAACCTAAATTGCGTGTTTATGCTGAGCTTATAAGAAGTGTGTGACTAGACAATTATCCTTTAAACTTTATTCAAATACCATGACACCATTCCTTCTTGCAGGAACATGAACTGGGTAGCCACTATGTTGCATGAACTGTAAATCTTTTTTTGAGAAAGAAAATAAGCATCCGTGTTTGTGTATGCTTAGATTTTTCCATTATTCAAACGAATATATAGGAATAACAAATAATAAACGCAAGAAAATTGACTTGTTGTGACTTGGTTAACTAGTGGAGGGTGCCACTGTGTTTGAAGTAAGGAATGCTGTAATCCAATCTCAGGTGATACAATATTACATTATAAGAACCTTCTGCATTTATCTGATGGGTTTAATATGGGACAAAGCTTTCATCCCTGATTTTTCTGCTACTCACTACCAAGTAAATTGCATCAGGACAAACTTTAACCAATACTGAAACATCCATTTAAGAAGTTCAGCTGCCAACAAGGATCAACCAAGTTGATGCCATAAAATGAATAATCGGCAGAAAGTTTCAAGTGAAAATGAGTAATAGATATATTTTCTTCAACATTTTACTACAGTTTTGTTGAGTTCCTGTCATGAAGCAATGTTTGCATTTTGAACACAATCAACTCCATGAGATTCTCTAAAACTGCATGAATGGATGGAGCCTTTCATAATATTCATTTGACTTACTTCATACAACTCTATTGCTCCAGGTATTTTATTGCCAGATACACGTTGACCATTATCAGTCTTTGAAGCTTTTCAGTTTCTACGTATGCTATGTCTTCTTTAGTTGTGTTTCTTTGTTTACACGTAACTTTTTACTTTAATCCTTTTCAGTTTATTATACTTGCGACTTTTATATTTCTGATTCACTCACATCCACACCAGTTATACACATGTTTTAAATGAAATCTATATTAACTGAAACTTTACAGCTTAAAGATAATTAACATAAAGATCAGCTCTTTGGATCGTTGACAAAGTGGTCTGTGAGGGATTTTCTGATGGTGTATTTAGTGTCTGAACTAATTAATACAGATCTCAGTATTCATTAAAGATTACAAGTTGATTTTAAATCACGAAACTCACGACCCAATTTTCGTTTCACTAACGTCCATCATGTAAATATGGAATTTGGACACTGTGGTAAAGTGTAATTCCGTACTAAATTGGTCTATTCGATACAGTAATATAATGATGCAGTGCCGTTTACTAGCTGACGTTGAGATCATAGTCAATGGTCATATTCACATCAAAGTAATCACACTGCTTTCTGTCTTTTTATTTTATATTTCTAATGGTTCCTTTTCTTTCATTTGAATGACAGCAGGATTTTCTTTTTATCTGGAGTTGGTGTTGAACCATTCCTATTTCACGTATTTGGTGTTGAATCAAGGAACAGAAATTCAGTGATCAACCTCTTTCTCCACTTGACCACTATAGTTTTTAGAACTGTTTCTAAGTTCCATCCTATTGTGTGGTTGTGTGTCATCACATGTGTAGCTAAAGTTTCTGTCTAAATTATTCAGTTCATTAGGGTTTATCAATCTAGACTTGACTAAGTTCTCATGTTTTGCTAACCTGACTAACTCCAATTGGCCAGTTTGACCCCATAGTTGTGGTAAGTGATTTAGTGAACTACATTATTTTGTCTAAGTCAATGGAATACTTAAACCAACAAGGTGTGTCTCTGAGTGAAAGTTTAGGTCTGAATGCCATCCTAATCACAGACTTATTGGGAGTCTTATATCCACTAATTTTGAACGATTTTTGTTAGGAGTTGTGTTCTCTATGCTGGATGCTTTAATGACTGCACTTCCTCTGTTAGGCGAAACTGTTTCATTGACGATAAATTTGGAGGCTTCGACTTCTATTCAGATCATGTTATTTCCATTTGCAATGTAAAATCCCAGAAAGGACCATTGGTTGTATAGACTGTAAGCAAATCAAAGACATCATTCTCAACCGTAGTTACTCATCATCCTAATGCCCTGTTTAAATGTTGTGTCTAAATCAGAAGTATGATCACTTGTTCTGTATGCGTGATAGTTAACAGTGGTCAAAATGCCTAGTTCAACGAAAATCTTTATTATCTCAAGGTGTTTGTCAACTAAAACTGGCTCATTATGTAGATCTTGTAAATACCCATCTGTGTTACACACCACTAGTGCATCCATATATTTGGATAAGATTCTATGAGAGCTGCCCGAAATGAATCAGTCTAAGCAGTTAATCAATGAGCGGTATCTGAAAAGTGTGAAGTCATCATCTGATCTTTATCTCACTTGCATGTGTTTTTTAAGTACTGCCACCTTGTGTGGGTGGTGACTATCTATCCATTTGTATGAGATTTTCATGCCGCAAGGCGGATTTGTCCCTTGGGCTCCTAGTGGAACATAGGGGTTCAGTAGCACATCTCCATTTCACTCTGTTCTCTGCATTCTTTTGAACCTGGCTCCACTACTGCCCACAAGCTTTCATTTCTTCCTCACACGATCTCCTTCATGTCACCCTCGGACGCCCAACTAGTTGGTTTCCCTTTGGGTTCCACTCGAAGGCCTGCCGTATGATGTCCTTGAATGGTCTTCTCAGTATATGCCCGATTCATCTCAACTTTCTTCTGCGTATATATATATATATATATATATATATATATATATAAAGGCCTAAAGAATATCATTCATACCCTCACTCCCTATCATGAAGTTTCCAACAGCTCACAACTGAGGTCAAAGACTGCAGCATTTCATCTCAGTATGAAGCTAGTTCATGAAGTCTAGTGGTAATAATATAGTGGACGGTCCGTAATCCGGGTTGAAGTAGGTAGAATCATTATTGTCACTAAGCTGACGGTTCAGGGCTATGTTATTGCTAGATGTATCGGTTCGTTGAAGGCAAGTGTGTTTGCGTAATTTTTGGTTGAGATTTTGTTTCATTCTTTTCAACTTACTACCAGTCACATACGAGATTAAGTGTGATGTTACGTATTTACTTTTTCGATACTGTTGCTTATTCACAATGAAGACTATTTTTACCTGTGTATTTATTCGGTCTTTGAATACAGTATCGGTTGACTCAAAACGGTAGTGGTTACCGTGAATTATTGTCATCTGTTACGCATATAAGCCAATATTATACAAGTACCTGTCACATACTGGTACTACCGATGGTGTCAGCGCTGTCAAGTGGAAAATATCATATGGTCTGATTATTCTAGCGTTCGAGGAAAAATTCAGCATGTTCTGACAACTAAACTTCATGTCACTTCATTCTCATCATAGACCTCTTTTACGACTCATTATCAAAAGTATTTCTGATTTGCCTTGCATTGTTCTCCTAAAAGTGACTAAGTAACAGTACTTTAGTCTATTTTGAGCTAGACTTGGCATCGACGCGTATTTGCCATAAAGGAGTCAGTGCAAGTATGTAGCTCTTCACACTTTATGTGTCAAATATTTATCGGTTAACTCAGTTGACCTCAAAGAAAGCATGGTCGACTGTGTGATGTTATGGCTTCTTGTATATTTCTGGGTGATGTATGCACATACAGGTGACATTTGCTTAACCAATATCCTTTACTTTCTGTCATTTATGACCATTTGTGACCATTGTATCACATCTAGATGCATAAGTTTGTGTTATATATTTAGGAACGGTGATCAGAGTAAGGTTTAAAAGTGTGTTGATCGTACTATGAACGCAGAAATCTACGAGATTTGAGTTTACTGAGCTGGCAATCGTGCTGTTTTCAGACAGATATCTTTCATGCCTTATTCGGACAGCAGGATGTCGTATTGTCTTACATGATCTTGAAATAGTTAGTCACTAAGTTGCATGAGCTGTGGGTTTTCACTTTAAGCACACAACCAATCTGTGTTTATCTATGCTGTAATTTATCACTTTTTGTGCAAATGAATACAAAAGGACAAAGAAATAACAAATTACACTTGTAGCACAAGGTCGGCTAGTGGGTAGCACTTTTGAACAACAGGTACTTTCGAGTAGTAGATGGAGCACCATCACATGAAAAGGTTTAAACATCGATCTGCTTTTACTTCAAATCGGACGTAACGTACACCTTTGATCTTTCTGTTAGGCGGTCCTATGGATATCGGATATTTCCCAGGATTTTCTAAAATCTAACTCTCGCATGTGTATACTTTCATTTTCCTTTAACCACTTTTTGTGTTACTATCATTAATATTTACACTTACACTTTATTACTATTTTACCTCCTAGTTATCGTGATCAAAAGTTAGAAAACATGAAATTCTCTAATTATATACCCCCAATGCCAAAAGACTTACTGTGCAATATTTCCTCCAGCTTATTTGGTAAGTATATTTCCCTTAGGTTGTTGTATATGCAGAGTTATCATTAAGGGGGCCGATACATGTATATATTGTCAATGAATTAAGGACCATTTATAAAGACTTTTTGACCTTTTGACTCAGCGGCCTTGCACACATTCGTGCAGTAGGCAATGACCCAATACTTATTGTGTGAAGTCTAATGATACTTACTACCTGGCTGCCCAAACCTCGGTAGGTGGAGCAGGTTTAGAACTTTTACAGAATTATGGATTTAATGATAACCTAAAACTCATTAGATGGATGTACCTGGATCCTAGTGACCAAGATTATCATCTGTATTGAGACATTTGCTTAGGGGTCCATATGCCAACAATAACCTGTCAGTTCGATCGAATTAACGACGGGAAACAACAAGCTGTAGCAAAAGATGGTAGACTTGTCTAACAAAGTATTCTCTCGAAGAACAAGAGTAGTTAAAAACTATTTCAGTTAATCTGTTGACTTTTTCAGCTGTATAAGGTTGATCTAAAAACACAGAAGTTTTTCATTGATTTGCATTTTATTTTATAAATGAGATTCACGAATGAATTATACTCATTTTATAGAGTTCTTCAAATCACCTGAATTTGATGAGCTGATTTGAATAAGTGATCTGTGAATCCCTTAGTCCACGTGGATAGCCGGTTCTTAGATCACTTTCATCTACCTAGTCAAGCCAACAGATCAATTTCTATGGTTTATAACTAGGGATTTATCGCTTAGTAGTAAATTTCATTATTTCATGAAAACTTAAGGTAGAAGATTATTTCTAATGGTGTTAGCTGGGTGTTTTTGAATAAAATCACTGCAGCTGATTAGTTCAAAAATAATGTGTTTTGGTGCTTAATCCTAGAAGTCAGTCTGTTGGAAACCATATTTGACCTGGTTTGTGTGGGTCTTGAGGAAAGTGTAACTGACGGGATATCTGATCGCATATCGAAATTTGGGGGATATATCAACTTCAGTCACTTTTGGTGCCGTTGTGACGTGACCGCGTCTGTAAAAGGTCGGGTATAAGAGGCACTGCCACAGGAAGCTCTGCTGTCCATCATGAAACTCTGATCTTATCAGTCTAAAGATTTCCAATGACTTAGCAGGACTGTTAGCATCCAGTGAAAACACTATGTGACTCATACCTTCTGACAACAAGCTACGGTGCGCTGCATTGTCATATAACTCCACTTGGTGCTTAAACTGCATAAGTTGATTGACAGGCTTATATCAGCGCTCGGCATTAATGATTCGACGGCTACATCTGTTACCTTTCAGTGATCGATTCGTTTGCATAATCCAGTCGTAAATGGGGTCGTCGGTGGCCTAATCGACCTAGTAGTAAAGTCTCTTACTTGAACACCAAGTGATGGAGTTACGAATCACTGGAGGGACACTAGTTTTCCCATGGGTCCACTTTTCCTTACTGATTGTGCCAACATGCACTAAATCTCAGCTTAGAGCTTCCTGCCGATTGACTCCTATGTCCTAACATGATGACAGTATTTTTGAGGCAAAGTGGTGTGTGTCTACGTGCGATAAACATCGTCATTCATTGAATGAAATAATCTTGAAACATCAGCTTCAATGGCATGGAGGACTGTTGCGAATGTCATCCCAAAACCTCGGATGCCACTCACTATTCGCTTACTTTGGGACTAGTTATAATGAGAGGGAAGATGGTCAAAGTATTACTTGACATTGTGAAATGAAAGACACAAATACCCTTGTGTTCACTTGTTTAGCAGTTGAAGCATAAGAAGAAGTGATAATATTGGTTAATCACTTATAGTAAGGTAGAAGATATGCATTTCTCCTCATCTTATTCTTTTGAGGTAGATGCAGTAGCGCAGATCCTTTTTTTTATCTGTGAAATTCAAACTCTGTGACCAGGCACTTCAAGTATCATAGTATTATTCAATGAACATGTTATCGTCACTGTGTAGTCCACAGTAGAATACAGATAAGGTTAGATCATTCGGGCTCCGTGAACCAACACGGAGGACGTCTCCAGCGCTTATCTGTTGCAGTCACAGTACTTAATCCCAACAACTTAGTGCTTAAGCCTATTCATTCTTTTTTATTCACGATTACGGACCACATATGTTGTAAGTTTTTAGTACCTCCTGAAGTATATATCACTCAATCTTCTTGACCCGAATGCATAATCAGGCTAGAAATTGTTTAGTAAAGTATTTAATAATCAGATATTTTCACACCGAAGTATCAAAGATTACAGTTTCAGTATGAAGTATATATTTATAATGGGCGATGACTGTAGTTGAAATGAAACTTTGGACCGCGGCCAGATTCGAACCAACGACCACCGGGTTTCCGACCTGACGCTCTACCAACTGAACTACTATCCAAATTTTCATTTCACCGTCAATCATCACCCAGTATAAATACTAGTCTGCCTAATTTTTGCTATCTCAGATAGTCAAACGAAGTACAAATATCAAAAAGGATACCGTGTCATACGAAGTGTTCGATCATAAACGTGATAATTTCCAAGAGAAGGTACGTACGAAATTTAAGAGGTAATACTAGTTCAAAACTAACTGTCAGCTCACCTAATACACCGTATCTAACGCACGTCTTGTAATTCTCAGGTATATATCTCACCATTAAGCGATTTCAGACAATGCCAGTCAGCCTATACTTTTTAAACTCAATTTTAAATGCCTCTGAGACTCTTCAAATCGCCAAACGACCGTCATATACCTTAATACCGTGCATGAAACAGTGCACCATCGTGTCGTGTCCCGCAGCTTAGCAGCCACCAGCCGCAATCAGAACTCAACATATGTTAGTTAAGAACTTTATTTGGTGACCATCTAATCACTAATTCCCGCGCATTATTCAGTTTTAAAGGAAGTTAGTTGTGAAGTGAATGATTTATTTTCTTAGTCCATTTTACCATCGAGGTTATGTCATATTTGAATCTCCGAGAGGCAGTTGGTACACTTAAGGTTGTAGATACTTTTTATGGTGAGTGTCGAAAATCATGAGACCTATGTGAACGAGTGCTTCCTTTCATTTATCTCCTAGCATCTGAAGCCAACTACAGTTCATGATAGTGTCAAGCCACCTATTTCAATGGATACACTGCACACTTGATTTATAGGCGGCAAGTAGCATTTAGGGCTAAACAGTTACCTAAGTTGCTACCTGACAACCATGTCTATTTTATTTGGAAGTTTCATTACTTTGACACATATAGTAAGTTAACTTTTACTAAGAAGAGAAGTATACCTAGGTAGGTGGTCACTGATTCGAACTCTAATTCTTTTATCAAGGTTCTGAAAGAAGAAAATAATTACGAACCCCCGCATAACTAGTGTAATTAGCATAAAACAACTCAAATCTCAACTTGATTTTGCAGTTGTGCGTGTCGCATATCTGAAAAACATCGCGTTTAGCCTTATGCATCACATTAGAGTAGAGCTTTTTTTTTGGTTATCAATGACCAGGTTGCAGGGATGAAGTTATTAAACTAATTTTAAAAAATCAGTTTTAATGGTAAGATAATATTCTACAAACAACATGATTGAAGGAACAAAAGAATTTTCATTGATACTTAACACAAAATGAAGTACAAATCTCTAACTCTGAGAGAACTATTTTAGATAGTTCAGATTTCACGTATAAGTAAAAAGGATTACTTAAGCACAGATAAGTAAGGTTTCGTTTCTCAGATACTGTTATACCTGACTAAGTTTCATTAATATCCATTTTCTAGGTCAGTCTTCAGATATTCTTAAGTTACCAAAGAAAGGTATGGACATTGACATCTTTGACGAGTAAAAAAAGCTTTTCAGTGGTTAGTTGTAGCTTGGATAAAATTCCTTAACCAGTTGAAAGTATAGATGTGTTGCTACTTGGTGGCCTGAGTGGGATCTGTTAAATTATGCGATTCAGTATCCATTTCCTTTAATCTGCTTCTTCACTGAAAATATCACTGCGCATGTCTTTATCAGTTATTAGTATAATTGTTGTTTTTATATGATATCGTCGTTGATTGGATCGAATTGATCGATCTCTATTCCACTGCTAGCCACGATCTATCATTAACATTTATCAGTTATTGTTCTATGGAAATTTTGTCAATATTATCATTTGATTATGAAATATTTTCCTACTATATCACACAAATACATACAGTGTACAGAAGTTACCTACTTGTTTTACAATTTAAAAATTTTTTGTGTTGTTAAGTTACTGTTGACTCAATTCTAATTGTGATCAGAAAAATAAAAAAAACCCTCATGATGACAGTGTATAGACAACAAAATTTGATAAAAAAGAAAATGTACAAATTCAAGAAATAACTGTTCATCTGTCTTATCGAAACGCTTATCTATAAGCAAGTCTTCAACAAGGTATATATAGCTGTCTGAAAATTAAATGATATTTGAGGCTACTACTGACATGTAGGTTACCCGGAAACTTCAGTAGAGTAGATATTATAACCAGTGTAATGACCAGCTGTTGACAGCTTTCTATTCAGCTTGGAAGCAAGTTGTTGTGGGGATAGCAGTGAACAGAAGATTGTGCGTGCACAAACATTCGAATTTGGTAGAGGAAAAAAGGATAAGAAAATGTTAGTGGACGATTTGAAAAGGACGTAGAATGTACTTATGTCAAATAATAAAAGACAGTCAGTAAACATTATGATATTCCACGAGAATATATGCTAATCTGAAAACAGGAACAAGAAAGTGGGTGAGTTAATTTTTGAAGGAGTTATAACTGTGTTGTGTTTATCAAGAGATGCGAATCAGCGTAAACTTGAACAAACCTTAGTTCACCCACTGAAATCTAATAGGGGTAATAAAGTGATGACTTTAAGTGTAACCTGTAACTTAATTTAGTTTCCACATTGGAAATATACTTACTTTTCAGTGCTTCAAAATATCTTGAGTATAGTTTTAATATCCCAATAAAGTTAAGTCCTTTGAAGGAATAACTGTGATCACCATCAAGCTGAT